TCTTCTCAGATAGCCTTACTTGTTGTAGCTTTCTTCATGAAAAAATCATATATCATAAGTCTTTCAACCCGTGAAAGTTTGGTTCTATTCTTTCTTTTAAGTGCTTCCTTTCTCTTTTTTTAGCATGTCTACTAGGCATTTTTTTAACCAATGGTGGCATGACTAGGCTCTTTATACTTTTTGACCAAAATAATCAACCTTTGATAGGATTTAACATAAAATGATAGGCAGTTAAATAGTTTTCCTTGTTGAACCATAAAGACAATGCATAGGATTAAACTCTTGATACATAATGGTAAACATTGCATGCTAACAAGGAATCTAAAAAATGTCCCATTTCCTGTAACTACAAGAATGTTGCTACAACATCATAGTGTAACTCTCTTTCACCTGGTTTTGAAAATCATCCTAGAAAACTTCATGTTTAGTACCTCAATTCCATTCTATTTTTCATTTACCACAAAGTTTCCTAGACTTTTCAAGTTTTTCAAGCATCTTAGGTCTATAATTAGTCTTTCATTTATTTATATATTCTTTTTTTTAACCATTTTTTTCATCAAATACATCATCATGTCCTTAAACATGCTAATTATAGGCTTACACCTAGCTTCTAAGATGACCCCATTAAATGTTTCACACATGTTAATATCAATCATATCAACCTTAATTATTTTAAAAAAGAAAAATCTTAACTCTAATCTTGGACATGTTATTTTTCTAATAAATCATCATTTGCTTTTATCCCTCACTTAATGCTTGCCATGATATTCAATTGTTTTTTCAATTCTGGTTAGTTTGGGGACTTAGCAAAAATCAAAAATTACTTTTGTAAGTCTTTACATCTATTCTACTTTCCTTATTTAGTTTAGATATGCCTAGCACATATTTTTTGTTCAACTAATGGAAGTAACTCTCTAATAGATTTTGCAAGACCTTAGCACATGAACAAAGAAAGAAATATTAATGTGAATCATAAACAAAAATTTTATAAAACCATTAAAATAAGTAAATAAAAATATATACCTTTTACATATCACTTATGATTAACCAGTCAAGCTCATCACCAATATTCAAATCTTGACATAATTGGTCTATAAACCAAGATCAAGTTTCAGTATTCTTTTTTTTCACCACAACCTATGCAATTAGGAACATTTAATCATTCATATCCTTTTCAATAGCCACAAGTAATTGTCCTTTGACTAACCCTTTTAAAAAGCATCCATTTAATCCAATAATGTGTCTGCATCCTTCTAGAAAACCTTGTTTAAAGGCTTCAAAATAGACATACATCTTTTCAAAGATAGGGTCTAATTTAAGTGTTGGCCTATGAGTTGTTACATATACAGTGCTTCTAAGATTTGTTGCTTTTAATTCTTTAGCATAGTCATTCAAGGCTTTAAATTCTTCTTTATATTTTTCTTTCATTTTTTTAATAACCACACATTTAGCTGTCCTACTCATAATCAATGACATAATGACACCTAAATCTTTTCTCACTAGTGCTCTTAAATGTCTAGGCTTAATGAAAGGCATAGTAATAATCTCCTCACCATACTTTTTTGTAATCACAGTTACTATCACCTTTTTATTTTTAGAGGTAGGTAGGCATAAGTGTTTTTTCTCTCATATTTTGACGACAAATATTTTGTAAGTGTTACATCAAGAACGCAAGATTGTCCACTTGTAACCTTTAGCAGTACATACAGCTTTAACCCTGATTTTATTATTTTTTATATACTTAAACTCAAACCTTTCCCATGTTGAAAAGTTAGCCATCACATTTTTGAAAATTTTTAGATTTTCAAACCTAAGTCTAAGCACAAAATTAGAGAATGGTGCTTTTGGATTATAGTGCTTATTATTAGATTGTACTCTTTGTGCATAATAATCTAAGGGTCCATTAGTGTCTTTAAAGCTACTAAGGTCTGATGAATCTAAATACTCATTTTCATACCTTTTAACCTTGCCAAAATCTAGATTAAGCCTAGAACATTAACTACTACATCTTTTATTCTAAACAATGGCATTAATAAGATCATCATCATCATCATCTTTTTTACTATTTAAAGTTTCAGGGCATATCTTTTTTTTCTTATCAACATACTCTTTCAATTTTTGCCTTGTAACCTCAAACTTATCATCTAAATCCGAATCAACAATCACATCGACCAATCTTTTTTCTTTAAATTCACTTGAATCACTTTTATTCTTATCCATATGCCCTTCAGTATCATCCTTTGTATCTTTCCTTTCATCATTTGCTTAATCCCTTAGAGCTTTAATAACACTAACCCCTTCATCCCCTCTATATACATTTTCATCCACTACTTGTCCCTTTATATCTCTGCTACCAATTTTTCATTTATCCCTTACTTGTCCCTCTATATCTTTACATCAATTTATCCTTCATCCTCTGCATGTTTTCTTTCAACCCCTATATTTTCCCTTGTATCTTCATTAAGAATTGGCCTTTCATACCCTACATATTCCCTTTTAACCCTTGCATAACCCTCTGTATCTCCATTAACAATCATCTCTTGATCCACTAGATGTTCCTTTGCATTTTTAGTAAAAATTAACCTATGATCCATTGCATGTTCCTCTACATCTCTAGTTAAAATCAACCCTCCATCCATTACATTCACCTTTTGATGTTTAGTCACTTATATCTTTGATCCATGCATTACCTACTTCTATGTCACTGTGAAAATCCTTGAAGCTAGATGTCGAAGGTATATGACATGTGCCATCATTAATTGCATCACTGGTCAAAATCATAACTTCATTACTTGATTCATGAACCTCAACAATTTCAATTGGTTCAATTATTACATTTAGCACCTCTTTATCCTTAATGTATTTGTTTAATTGTTCTACATATATATATATATATATATATATATATCCATAACCCAATTCTTCCTTAATTGGTCAACCATCTCTAGTACATTCATATCATCACATAAAAACTTCAACCCATTATCTAATGTCTTCCTATCGTTAACAAAATAAACTCTCATTGAATTTGACCTAATATATTCCTTGATTGTACGTAATATATTCTAATAACATATATGATCACAATCTTCATCATAACTTGCTACTAACCCATTTACATTTTGAACTTTTCTCGGGGTTCTTGCATATTCCTTCCCTGATGGTATTTTGCTTTACACCCATCAAATGTCATACTATCAAGTAAAAACAAACAACAAATGAAATCGGTTAAACACATTAACTTAACTTTCGACTAATTAAATATTAAACAATTAAACACATATTTTGTTACGTCTAATCACATATAAAATCAAACACCATTAGATGATAAGGTGCTTTCTAACCACTTATTGAAAATAATTTGACTTTGCTTTTATAGCATAATGTGTTTTCATATGATAATGTGTTTTATGGTATAAGAATTAATAGAATAATTTAACCTTAATATTATGAAAATAATCATGTGCATGCTTAAATTTTTCCAACCAAATAAACCATCTAAATAGTGTAAGCAATAGATAGACACATGTGCACTGTGTCTTATTCTTTACATAAGTTCTTTGGTCAAATTATCATTAGTAGTGGCAAACAAAACAAAATAACACACTAGACCACGAAAATGACAACATATGCTTTCCAAATACAAAACTAATATAATAATCTAAAAAAAAACCCAAAATGTAGATAATACTCATCTTTCAATACCTTTGAATATTCATCTTTTTTGTTCTTTTTGGTACTTTTCTTCACTTTATTAGACTTTTTCTTCTCTACAAAACTTCTTTTGTTGTCTCTTATTCTTCGACTCTTTAGGATAAAAAATATGGACATTGGGTTTTTGGATTAAAGCTTAAACAATTTATCATGTTTTTTCGAATCGTTCGAAGCTTTAAAAAGTTTTGCTACCCTCTAATGTTCAGTCGAATGGATTTGATTTTCAAAGAAAAGTTTAAGGTTCGATCAAAGAAAGCTTTTTTGGATAAAAAAGGTTTAGGGAATTTTAAGTAAAAAGCAAAAAGGAAAAGGGTTAGAAATTTTATGATTTTTTACAATTGTTCGATGATACAGGTGGAAAATTCACGTCATAAAAAAACCTAAATCACCTAAAATTTTTATCCATGTCATCCAATCAATGACACATCGTGTAGTCAACATACCATATCATAAATTTAGCGGAGTAAATAACCAACTGTCACATATTAGACTTTAATTTCAAATAGTGATAAGTATAGAAACTTTCAATATTACAATTATAATGTAGAGATTAAATTCGAAATTTACATATAGTACAGAGATTAATAGCATAATTTAACCTTTCAAAAATCAAAATCTAAAATTTTTATTATAAGATTATTATTTTTTAATAAATTATATCTTAATAATCTATAAATATATAGTATTTTATAAAATTACAATATTAAATAATAATTTTATTAATATATATACAAATATAAAATAAAATAAATAGATAATAAAATATATATTTTTATATGTATTTGTGGTAAAATAAATTAAATCCGTTTCCTGCTTATTTTTTAATTAAAACATTGTGATATGATCTCTAAATTAAAAAAAAAAATCAATTCGATAAGAAGGAATAAAAATTATTGAATATAGATTTTTTTGTCTCTTTAACTTTATTATTTAAAAAATTATTTAATCAAAACACCTAAAAAAATCAGATTAAAAATTAAAAAAATAAAAATAAAAGAGGGAAAAGTGAAATGTCAGGTGGATATGCCAGTTTTGCACCAAAATCCATAACTTGAATTGAATGGATAGGACGGAGGGAGGAAGCAAGAGATATTAGTTTTATAAAAAAAATTAAAATTTAATATTAATTATACTAATGATAATGTTTTTCGCAATTTAAAACAAAACGAGTATGTTATTTTTAGGATACTAATAAGTAATGGAGTAATTAATTACTATATTAATAATTTCGTTGACAAATTCCTTTGATTCAGATATTTATCTTTGTTTAAAGTTACATCGTAAAACATCTCTCATCAAATCATAGGAAGCTAGCTTTAAATCCCAAATTTCCCACGTATAATAAAAACCCCAAATTTTGCCAGTATTTTCCGTACAACCAAACAAACCTGTTTTTGTGAGCTACCACATTCGTATTCGATTAACACGATGAATACCATCATCCTCTGTCGTTTCTTTCATTAAAATAATAATTAACAAAAAATTAAAAAAAAAAACACTCCTTCGTTCTCCAACCCAAAATTCCCAGCGAATTTCTCTTCTCCCTTCCATTGCTCCTACCCAAAAACCTCCTATATTCCAATGCCAAATTCCATCAAATAACCCGAAATTGTCAAACACCAAATCTCCTTTTCCCCAATACTTGGCAATGTCAGGTCCATCACTAATGGATTCCCTGTTTCAACGCACCTTAGAGGACCTAATCAAAGGCCTAAGGCAACAACTGATCGGTGAACAAGCTTTTATTTCGAAAGCCCTGGAAGAAATCCGTAAAGAAATCAAATCCACTGACCTCTCAACCAAATCCACAGCTCTCCTGAAACTCTCCTACCTTTCCTCCCTTCACTTCCATGACATGTCGTTCGCAACTTTCCATGCCTTGGAAGTCCTCTCTTCCCCTCGTTTTTCCCACAAAAAAATCGCTTACCATGGAATCTCACTTTCCTTCCATGATTCCACCCCTGTTCTTCTCCTTATAACTAATCATCTGCGTAAGGATCTTACCAGTACAAATGAGTTTGAAGTAAGTTTATCTCTACAATGCTTATCTAGAATTGCTAATGTTGATCTTGCTAGAGATTTGACCCCGGAAGTTTTCATTTTACTGTCTAGTAATAAACTTTATGTCCGAAAGAAGGCAATAGCTGTAGTTTTAAGGGTTTTTGAGAAATACCCTGATTCTGTTAGGGTGTGTTTTAAACGTTTGGTTGAAAATTTAGAGAATTCGGATCCTCAGATTTTGTCTGCTGTTGTCGGGGTGTTTTGTGAACTTGCTTGTAAAGATGCCAGATCATATCTTCCATTGGCACCTGAATTTTATAAGATTTTGGTTAATTCCAAAAACAATTGGATTTTGATTAAGGTGCTGAAGATTTTTACGAAGTTGGCTTCTTTGGAACCAAGGTTGGCGAAACGGGTTGTTGAGCCGATTTGTGATCATATGAGAAGAACTGGAGCGAAGTCCTTGTTGTTTGAGTGTGTCCAGACTGTCGTTACTAGTTTGAGCGAGTATGACTCTGCTGTGAGGCTTGCGGTGGGAAAGATTCGTGAGTTTTTGGTGGATGAGGATCCGAATCTCAAGTATCTTGGATTGCGGGCTCTTTCTATTGTAGCACCAAAGCACTTGTGGGCAGTGTCAGAAAATAAGGAAGTTGTGATTAAGTCATTGAGTGATGCAGATCCTAACATTAAGATTGGGTCATTGCGACTTGTGATGGCAATGGTGTCTGAACATAGTGTGGCTGAAATTTCCAGAGTTTTGGTCAATTATGCTCTTAAATCTGATCCTGAGTTTTGTAATGAGATTCTTGGTTCTATTTTATCAACTTGTTCTAGGAATTTATATGAGATTATTGTTGACTTCGATTGGTATGTATCTCTTCTTGGGGAGATGTCAAAAATCCCACATTGCCAGAAGGGAGAAGAAATTGAAAATCAGCTAATTGATATTGGTATGAGGGTCAAGGATGTTAGGCCAGAACTTGTTCATGTCAGTCGTGATCTGCTGATTGATCCTGCTTTACTTGGAAATACTTTCTTGCATAGGGTATTATCTGCTGCTGCTTGGGCATCTGGAGAATATGTTGAGTTTTCAAGAAACCCTTTAGAACTTATGGAAGCACTATTACAACCTCGCACTTGTTTGTTGCCCCCACATATTAGGGCAATTTATATTCAGTCTGCCTTTAAAGTGTTAGTTTTCTGTCTAAGTACTTACCTTATGCAATGGGGAAGTACTGCTTCCTCTGCATCTCCTGATAATTTACGTTCAGGAGTTTCAGCATCTGTGTCCTACGAATCATTTGACAATCTGTCTGTTGAAAATGGTGCAGATGCTACTGTTACACGTGGGCAGACATATACCTCTGCTTCTATCACCAATGAATCCATTTTAAACCTGTTGAATCTGGTTGAATTGGCTTTAGGCCCTCTATTCGAAAGCCCTGATGTGGAAGTACAGGAGAGAGCCCGGAATGTGCTTGGCTTTATTGACTTGACAAAACTAGAATTACTTAATTCTTCAGTTCAAGGGGAAAAGGATTTAGAGAGAAGAGGAGTGGAATGTTCCAAAACCATTGAGCTGATGCATGACGCCTTTTCCAAGGAGCTTGGTCCTGTCTCTTTAAGCGCCCAGGGAAAAGTTTATCTACCAGATGGGTTAATGCTTGTGGAGAACCTTGTTGGCATGGAAATGATCTGTGCTGATATTGAACCACCTTCATCAAACTTATTTTCTTTTGGAATTCCATATGAGGAGAAGGATGGTGTTTCTTTCTCTAACCTTCAGATCGAAGCAGACTCTGAGGAATCAAATGAGGCCACATCTCTGTTAGCTGAGCATCGTAAGCGCCATGGGTTATATTATCTTCCTTTGGGGAAGAGTGAAATAATTTCAAATGATTATCCTCCTGCCAATGACCCAACATTACAGGGTAATATCAATGATAATGCTGATGATCTTGTTAAACTTACTGAGGAATCACTTGTCCCAAAGAGAAAATCAAATCATGCCAAGCCTAGGCCCGTGGTGGTGAAATTGGATGAAGTGGATGCAAAACCAGTTGGAGTGAAGAAGGCCGAGTACAAGGATGATTCACTTTCAGGTGCTGTACGTGATTTTCTTTATGGTATGAAAGATATGGTACCCACTTCATCTCAAAGCAACCTTCCTGGTAAGGCATCTAGCAAGAGAAAAGGAAAGGAAAAACAACATACAGATCCTCATGTGGAAACAAAAGGAAATTTAGTTGATTATGGAAATCCTAGTTCAAGAAGGAGAAAACACCGTAGTCATGGTAAAGAGAGAAAACATAGAAGTGCAAGGGAGAAGAATGCTGAGGAAAGAGAAGATACTGGTCAGAAAGAAAAAGAGAAGAGTAGTTATTGCCATGGCAGGCATAAATCTCGACAAAGAGCTGAAGAGCCTTTGAATGTTTCTGCACAAACAACCGTGATTCCTGATTTCCTTTTATAGCATTAAAACATTTTTATCCAGTAGAAACAGCTTTACGGAATTGGCCTTTTATATCCTCTGTATTCGTCCTTCTTGCATGCTGAGGTTAGTTCTTCTGTAAATCTATACTTTCTGTTTTATTTGGGGTTTGTGGTATATTGAAATTTGAACATTGGGATTGGTTTAAATGTTACACATTACGAAATTCAATCTTGTGAAGTAAAGTTTCAATTTTGAAACATTCTGGCCCCTGAGACCTAAAATGAATATATTCTCTATATGTTAAAGTTTTGAGTTTAGAAATCTCTCTCTATGTTTCAAGTTTGAGTGTTATTTTGCTTTGAGCTTTCTGTTTCTTCCAATCTCATTGTTAGTACTATGTTACCAGGATATAATGTCTATATCTTATGCATGTACTTATGGTAGATGTGGAAATCATCATCATCATAGTCACACTATTCAGTCAGCAAATTATGCATTACTCCCCATGATATAATATCTACATGCCTTGCACGTTTTAGTCTTAAATGAGGAAATCATCAGCTTCATTGTCATATCATTCAGTCAACAAATTAGGCTTTACTGACTCAATGCTACAAGTGCTTCGCACACTAACAATCTAAAGTTTTTGTTAAAGTTACTTTTCATTTTTTCTAGGATATTGCTGAGGACTTAATACTAAAATTGTGGTGTTTTTCTTGTTCTCGCATTGCCTCCACCAAGAAGATGTTAGTTAAGCTCATCCTGCTGATTTTGTTGGTACTAATTGTTTATTTTAGGGATAAACTTGTTCAGGTTAGTTTAGCAGCATAAATTTTGTTACTGCATTTATTTCTCACTTTGTTGTTTAGCATGTTGAATTTCTGACATTTTTCACATCCTAATGGAAGGAATTTTATGAGCATACTGTCAAATATCTGTTAGATCCGAACCCGAAGCTTAGCTTAGTTTGTTCATGTAACCATCTTTAAGAGGTGGCATCTAGTAGGTTTGGGGTTTGAATCCCAGCACCTGTAATCCTTTTTCTTATCCTTGGCTGTGGCCTTCTATGTTAAAAAAAAAAAAACTGTTAGATCCGTGGAAGTTTGCTGTTGGAAACAAAATCGTCATCTCATTTCTTTCTTGGACCCTATATTTAAAAGAACTTGCATACATTCATATATACATATATATGTATGTAAGTATGTTTGGATGGATGTATGTGTATTCATTGCTTATGCATTCCAGTTTTCTTGTAAATTATTTTTTCTTGTGCTCTCTTAATATATTGGGATCAGAAGAAGTTACTCATTATCTAGCATCTTTCTTTCTTTTTTTCCATCCTACCTATCCCCACCTCTGAAATTTGATCATTTAGCTTTTTTTTTAGTTGTGGAATCGTGTAGTCACGCATGCGCAGGGCTGAATTTTGTTCCAAAGATTATGTGCAGTTGAGTTATGAATTAGAGGATTAATTCCTGTTCTTTTTCTTGTTTTGGCACATATGAATAAGTCTTTAAGAGATTTGAGCCTTTATCTTAGTCCTCGTCATCAACCCTTAGCCACTTATCTCCATGGTTTGACAAATTACAATCTTGCAACTCGACTGGATGCAAACTCAATCAGAATTATCCCCAGGTCCAGATTTAAGATTGTAACTACCATCGTAAGACAGGGTACGGGATCCAACAAGATTTTTTTTCAAGTATGCACTTATAATATATAAAAATTATTTATGGGGTTATCAATTTTATCGACCAAATAAAATATTTATGAAAAAAATTTGGGGTTGTCTAGAGAGAAATTTTTTTCTAATTTTCTTATTTTTTAATTTTTGAAGTATTCATGAGAAACTTTTTGGGAGTGTTTTTTCCTTAAAATTTTCCATTTTTTTTCCATTTTTGGGAGTCAAATGAACACCTTACATCACAATGTAGATCCAGCACTGTAAAAGACTATATGATTTAGGTATGGTAGCTATGGGTAACCCAAACTTGAAATTGTTTTTGGCCATAAGAATGAGGATATTGAACTTGATTTAGGTAACGTTTAACAGTACTTTTAATTAACCAAAAATGTAGTGACAAATTCAGGACGTTGAAATTTAATGAGTCTGTACGGTATAGAAATGACTAACTTGATCCGGATTACACATAAAAAAATAAGTAATAATTTGGATATTTCTTAAAATTTAAAAGCGTACATATTAAAATTTTAATTAAGGTTATTAACAACACAAATTATCACTTCATGTTCAATTTACTATTTATATTGTCATATATATATATACCAGTTTTTGATCCATGCAAAGCATGGGATTTTTAAGTTTTATAAAATTATTTACATTAATTAAGTTTTCAAAAAATATTATCTTTCTTTTAAGTTTTGTTAGTCTTGAATTGATCTTTATTTTGAAATTATAAAACATTAAACTAAATGAGCTTAATCAAGATTTTGAAAAAGATTTAGTTAGTACATATTTTTAAGTTTTATATTTTAGTACTAAATAAATAATATATTTTTTAAAGTACAAACAAATCTTTCTTTGTTTTTATATTTCTTAAATCAAATTTATCTTTAAAGATAATTTTTTTGAGCTTAAATGAAAGTCCAATTGTTGTTTTTAAAATAAACTTATTCATTTTTCACTTAATATAATTTTTATGAAATTGATTTTGAGAAATAGATTAACTGAAGAAAGTGGTTTTACAATAATAAAGTTTTTTAACATTGAACTTGTTTTATTTTTTTGTATTAATTCATAAAATTTTAATATTTGAATTTTATATAGTTGAAAAAATCTTTGAGTTTACTTTCTAATGGATCAAGCAAAATCAAAATCCAAATTTTTTAAGAAAAATTTTTGAATTTTTACTAGACACTCTGCAGTTATCTAAAAACTATATAAAATGGTAGATTTAAAAATTTACTATAATTTGTACACAATAAATTAGGTAATAAATTTTATATGGATAGAAAACCCTTTAAGTCTAGTTTCTAAATCTTCAAACGATTTGTAATTTGAATTTGTATAACTTAAGATATGATCAAATTAGTGAGTAGAGTGCAAAACAGGAAAACAACCAACCAGCCATGGATAGGATAATCCCCTCAATAAGGGATCGATTGATTTTTCTTACAGAATATAAGTTTGTGCTCGTGCATGAAAAAAGGGATTGATCACCCTATATAGGTGATTGATCACCTTCTTGAACCAATCGATCCCTTACATAAAGGGATCGATCGGGTAGGCATTTTTAAAGGCAAAATTGGCTTCAAAACATGAATCAACCGATCCTCTCATGAAAATGATTGATCAGGTCATGCCCAAGATGTGTCCAATGGCTATTTTTTCATGCTTTCAATGGCTATTTTCTTTTTTCAAGCATTTCCAACAGTTGGCTTTTCATTTTCTCTATATATTAGCCATTCCAACACATCAATAAAGTTTATGAAGCAAGAAAGCATATGCTAACAAGTTATATTTTCATTTTCTCTTAGAATTAAGAGTTTTTAGAGCTTAAGTTCAATATCCTTTATATTTCTTGTATCCAAAATATTGTTGTTCTTCATTCATCACATTTCCTTATGCTTCATTAGGTAAATACTTAGCCTTTGAGAAGTGTTTTAAGTTTACATTGTTATTAAGTGATTTTGTAATCAAGAGGTGAGGTATCCTCTTAAATTTATGAAATTGAAAGATTACTACTTAACTTAAAAAGTAAAGAGTATAAGGTTTTTAGCTTAAGCCTTAGTGAGAAAAATATATGATTGTAATTTCAATTCAAATATAGTGAATTGAATTCTTGATGTGAACAACCAAAAGTGAGGAAGTAGGTGCCTTCTGGAGAATTATTAAACCTCTATAAATTCTTATATTTGATTTCTCTATCCTTATTTCTTTATTTTGATTATAGTCATATTTGCTTATAATTTATCAATTTATTATTGTTTGCATCATATTTTAATATTGGTTTTAATTTTTATCCAATTATATTGAAATCATTTGTTTGGAAAGAATTTGAAAAAATCCAATTTACCCCCCTCTTGGATCACCATCTCATTTATAAAGCTAATAAGTTTTCAATATATATATATTGTAATTATTTCAATTTTAAATTAAAGTATAAAAAATTCTTTATATATAATTGTACTTAAAATTGGAGAACATATTTTATTTTATTTTTTTTCAAAAACTTATAGATTGTGTTTAGAAACTTAAATTTAAAAAAAATCTTTGTATTGTAAAATTAGTATAAAATGTATGATAAAGCACACATAACTATAAATATTATTTTATAATTATTTTTCAAATTTAAAGATTTGCTGGATATCTATTTAATAGCAAGCTTGAAATATTTATGCGTATTTTATGAATTTTAAATTCATCTTTTTATATCTTTTAAATTAAATTAATTATCATATTGAATTTTATTAATTTGTGTATACTACATCCATTTTATTATTATAATTTATATATTAAATAAAATTCAAATGTACTTTATTAAATTTACCTTTCCATGCTTAACAATAGTATTTTTTATTGGACAATCATTTATTCTAAAATAAGTTATTTTAATTTTTTACAAATTTATCAAACAAAAGATTTTAAAAATTTATAATATGAGAAATACATGTTAAAATTAATTCTAAATCTTTTTATATATTAAAAACCTAATAATTTGATTGCAATCAACATATTTATATATGTAAAATAACTATTAAATAATCAATTTCAAAACTTTTATTAGAAAACTCATACTTGTTTATTGATTAATTTTTTTTGCTTTTCCATGTACATGCATTTTAATAGATATTTTTAGATTATAATTTTTAGTATTTAAGATTATCAGAATTAGAACTCTAATTATTGAAACTAGAGTTAAGCATTATAGCAATAATCTACGTGATTGTTGGTTTTTTTTTTATTATATTTGATGCTAAATTATAAATATAAAAAACTACAAAATATAAAAATCAAATCAATATTAGGTGATACTAATTTAATGGTGGGTAAAATTTGTCTAAATAAAATAATAAAAATAATAAATTATTTTTATAATAAATATATTAATTGTTTAACTGATTATATTGTTTTCAAATATTATAAGCTTTTATTCGAATGTCAGATAATTAATGGGCAATAAATTTTTAAAATATTTTTTATATGGATTAATTAAGTGGAAGTAATTTAAATTCCTTTCTCAAATGGTAGAAAGTTCTCTATTTAATGTAATATCGTAATATTAGAAAGCTAATATATAAATTTGAAATTTAATCTTCCAATAATAGTTTAAATTTAAATTTATTTTATTATTTTATTTAAATATATAAAAGACAAAGTCTTTGGTAAAAAAAAGAAAAATGTCCAATGTGAATTATTTATATTATTGACATGTGGACAATCTTAAAAAAATACTATACTTCCTCTAATAAAT